GACCCTCCAAAAACATCTCCTAGAAACTTTGCAACAACAGATATGAACTCATCTGGCTTCTCCTCTTGAGGAAGATGGCCACATTTCTTAATCACTTTAAACACCGATCCTGGTATGGCTCGTGACAGCCTCTCTGCGTTCCATGCTGGCACAATACGGTCTGTATCTCCCGTCACTATTAGAACTATTCACCAACATGAACAAAGTGTCAAATATATAATGGGCAGCATTTGGTCTTAATGAAATTGCGGATTCGAATTAAAAGAGATGTTACCAGGGCATTTGATTTCTTGGAACCTTTTCGACAATGGAGGTTTCTTCTCTGAGCCATTGTTATCAGTTAGTGTAGCGACCGTGAATTCCACAAGAGCTCTGTCCCATCCCTTGGCTTTTAGAGGCTGTACTTTATTTTGCAACAAATACAAATAAAATTTCAAACAGTTAACAACATGACAATGCCGAAGAATTGAAATACATAAATTTGAGAAACCGGGGACCTTCACCTTCGTATAACCCTGAACGACGTGATCCGTCACTTGTTTTGAGTCATACCACGCGTTTCTAACAGCTGTTACTCCGAATTTATTGATTGCCATCCTCACCTAAGAAAAAACCCATAACCATAAACACATCAAGTAAGATCCTTTTGAGGTTCTCTAGACCGACTTTTCTTGATAAGAACCATGGAATAAGATGAGTAGTGAAGCCAAGACAATAAAAGCCGTACCAGCATTACTCCAAGAGAGGATCTGAGGAAAGCTGCTAAAGCTTTCTTGTAGAGAGAACTCAACATACTCGCCATCCCCGTTACGGCTCTTGAAATTGCTCCTATAATGACTTTGCTTAACTCAACTACAGTCCCTAGAAACTTGCTCGTGGGACCTTTTTTCCCAGGCTTATCTCCAGCACTAGTTGTGTTCACAGAACGAGGGGCGAATATAGCTGGAGCGACGAGAATGAGGGCAGCAATACGCTCGGGAGCTTCAAAGTATGAATCTAGAGCTACCAGGCAACCTGCAGAATGCCTAAAACATATGAAAAACAGTCTCAGCTTTTGAAGAAGAAATGCAAAGCGTATGAAATCTACCAACTTACCCCACAAGAATCGCCTTCTCAGTGGCAAGAAAATCGATGAAATACAGCGTAGTGAGCACGGAATACACCATGGAGTACGGATTCAATGGTTTTGCATCATTGGGAGTACCACTAAAAGGGTGAAGAATCCGAGAAGTCAAGCCAAATGCGGGTCTATCAAAGGCGAGAACTTTCGAATGGACAAGCCGAGCTAAAGGCTTCATAACTCTGTTCCAAGAGAACACAGAAGCCCCGAAGCCGTGCAATAGAATCATCGGGAACTCGGCTTTTCGTGTTCCTTGATCATCTTGGCTAGTGATTTGAACATCATCAGAGAGTGTCTGTGGATCATACACTTTGTGGTGTATATGAACACCTTGAAACTCACAGAAACAGCTGTCTGGATCAGCTAAGTTCATTGGATCTTGTTCTGTTTCAGCCTCCATCTCCTCTTTACTCTGCACTCCAGCATCTAAATATTGATCTAGACAGTCCAAGATTACATTTTAATCAGGAAGATTAATCATATAAAATAGATCTTCAGGCAAATTAATAAGGCACAATGTGTGATTCATCAATCTAAATTTTGGAACTAGAAACCCAAAATGTTTCAAATTTAGCAGAAAAACTGAGTCTTTTAGGTGAGCCCAGGAACCTCAATGTGGTTACTGAACAAGAATTCTGAAGAACCCAGAAAGATTCATCAATTAAAGTCTGATTTTTTTTTTTTTAGAAGAAGCTCATGAATAAAGAAGCAGTAGAGAGAGAAAGGAACAATTTTTAGAACCTGGAGAGCCAGAGAGAGAAGGAGAAGAAGCAGCAGCATTGGAGACGATGAAACGGTTCGCCGGACGGCGAGAGGATTGGCCGGAGATCCGGTGAGACATCTGAAAATTGGTTGTAGAAGAAGAAGCTAAACTAAACTTGTTGTTGAAAGATAAGGAAGAGGGAGTTATGAGAATCTGCTTTGGTTGGTAGAAGAAGAAGATGCATGTGCCTGTGGCTTTTAATAACTTCATTGTTGCTTCTTAAATTATCAGACAAGATGATGATAAAAGGCAAAAAGTACAAAAGGTTGTTTGAGTTATGGGTATGGAGATTGTGTTTGTGTCTTTTTATGAAATCCCC